GTCCCTGCCCGTGGCAGGGGCTTGGAACTGGATGAGCTTTAAGGTCCCTTCCAACCCAAACCATTCTATGATGCTATCATTATCACTGTGAATTGAAAAGATGAGCAGCTTCCACCTGGTTTGGCTTCCATCTGAATGGCTTCGGATTAAATTCGGTTTGGCGCTCTGTAGTGTACTGAACTGAAGGACCAGATACTTCTGATTGAGGTCCATGGCTTCAGCGAGTGAACCTTGACAATGCCTTTGTGTGTCTAGGGAAGAGAATAAACCTAATGAAACAAAGACAGTTATCAGATGGAGAGGGATAAATAAACCTTCATTGGGATTTGAGCCAGTTGATTTAGGTAGGATTAGGAGGAATTTAGCATTTAATGGAAGAGGTGGGCTTTGTTTGTTTCTTTTTTTGGTCTTTCTAATAGAAAAACCTGTGTGAGTGAAAGCCTGTGAAGTCCTTCAGACCATTATTACATGCTGAACTATAAGATATAAAAATCATTCCTGCGTGAAGCTCAGGCGAAACCGAAGTTTCTTTGCTGAGGAAGGTTGAGAACTGTAGTAAAAAGATAATAAGAACACTAAAGACAGAATGAAACTGGGAACTCTAAATCTATAAACAGCTCTGTAAGATGTTGTCATTGATGATTGTTGGAGTTTCTATTTAGTGTAGCTTTGGAAACATAAATTACGTTTGTAGTTTAATAAGAGCTTTGCACATCTCAGCTACTCCCCAACAAGCAGAATGTATGGGTGTGTATAAAGCAAGCCATAATGCTCTGGCTTTCAGGGCCTCACCTGAAACTCGAAGTCAAGCAGATCTAATAAAGCTGACTTGGAGCCAGTGGCTGGTTTTAATGCGGCAGCTCACAGTGGTGCCGTAAAGTGAAATGCTTGAGACACTTTTATTAGTGATTTCTTGCAGCTGAGCCTCGCTCAGTGGGGCTTTTACAAGGGATTGTCATGCTAGTTCTGGTGCAGCAAGAAAAGGCTGCGTTAGAGACCCTTTGGAAATGCAGGCTTGTAAAGCAGCAGGATTCAATGTAATTTGATTTAAGAAAATCATAATAGGAGAGGATCTTTATTCCCTTTGCATGTTTGTTCCTGAAAGTTGAAAAGGCAGCCTAAATTTTATGTAGTTCCCCCCCCCCCCCCCTTCTTTTCCCCCCCCCCCCCATTGTTTTAATACCATCTTTATGAAACTCTTTTAAGACTTTGAAACCAGAATGCTCTGTACAGCATTGTCTATTTTGGCAAACTCCAAAGGTGTGTGTTTTTTCTTTCTTTTTGCTTCTTTTTTATTAAGCAAGGCAAACATTGCCATCACTTGGCTTTGTTTCCTTCTGCTTGGCCTCTAGCCTGGCCTCTCCACGTCAGCAGAAACATGCTGCTGGAACAGGAGGGGGGCAGAGGTGCTGCTTGTGTCAACCCTGCTTGGCCCAGTGCTCAACTCCTGCCCAACAGCTGCTTTGGTTTGGTGTGTCAGCACAAAGCTGGGTGTTTCTTTTTCCTTTGAGCAGTAATATCAGGATTTATATTGCTTTAAAATCAAGTTGAGAGCAAATTCCCCACTAAACTGTAATGGTTTGAGGGTTTTTCTTTTGCTTTTGAACTTCCTGAGTATGTCCCTATAGGGAGAGGAACATTAAGCACTGCTTTTTTATTACAGGATGATGTATAATGGTAGAGAAGACTCAGTGCTGTTTCTGTCATTTGTAAGGCATTGTGATTGCCCTCTCCAGGTTGTTTGCTTTGTCAGATGATGGAAGAGGACTGCGTGTGTCTGCTAGTCTGAATTGAGGTCTCTTGGTGATTAGAGTATTACTCTGCTGGACTTGGATTTTCCTGTTTGAGAGCTGCTTTTGTATGTAGGTATCCTTGGGCCCCTTGTTACAGGAGAGACATTGGGGTGCTGCAGCGGGGCCAGAGAAGGGCACCGGAGCTGGTGCAAGGCCTGGAGCACAAGTGTGATGAGGAAGGGCTGAGGGACCTGGGGGGTTTAGTGTGGAGAAGAGAAGGCTCAGGGGGGACCTTATCGCTCTCTGCAACTGCCTGACAGGAGGATGGAGCCAGGAGGGGGCTGGTCTCTGCTCCCAAGGAACAAGGGATGGCACAAGAGGAACTGGCCTCAAGCTGCCCCAGGGCAGGTTTAGCTGGAGCTGAGGAACAATTCCTTGCCCAGAGGGTGCTCAGGCATTGGAACAGGCTGCCCAGGGCAGTGCTGGAGTCACCATCCCTGCAAGTGTTCACACCCCGCATAGCCGAGGCCTCAGTGCCAGGGGTTAGTGGTGGCCCTGGCCGGGGCGGGCGAGGGGGGGACTGGATGATCTTAAAGGTCTTTTCCAACCTAACTGATTCTGTCATTCTGTCAAATGTTAAAAACGTATTCAGGTTATTCAGTCCACCTTTCTCTCTTCATATTAAACTTTTCTTTTTCCTGGAAGAAACAGGTTGTGAGATGTATCTTATGATGCAGTCCTTGATTCCTAGTGGGATACTGGTTTTTGAGAGCAGTGGTGATACATGTGTGTCTTCACAGCAAGACCAACAGGCAACACAACGTAAACAAGATAGCTAGAAGCTTCATAAAGCTTTCCAGGGGAGATCTATGCTCTTCATTGCATAGATACTGTGCCACTGCTTGGGGACTATATAGTACACACCATGTGTGCAAGATGTTTTTGCGCTTACTGTGACCCAGGGAGACCTGTAAGACACAGGGTCATGTTGATGGGTGCTTTCTGGACCTCAGCTGCTGTCTCCCTGTGATGCTGTGGGTGTTTTGGTTGGGCTCACTCGCCAGTCTTGGCCTGATGCTCCATTTCATAGAGCAGGCTAAGGCACGTTCTTCCAAGTCATCACATAACAAATTGTACAGATCACATTACAAACTGCTTGATTTATTTTCCTAACCTCTGTGGAAGCCTCACTGCAGGCTTTGTTACTCCATGGCTTGTGTTCTGCGTAGACTTCTAGCAAGTCTCTGCTGCCAAAAGGATCTTGTACTTTCAGTATTCCTCCTGCTCTGTTTTTGTGACACTACTCTGTATTTGAAAGCTGTGGTTTTAAATCTGAAGCAAGGTTTGCCTAACAATGATAAAATACAAATTCCAAAATAGAGAACAAGTAATAGTTCACTTTTCACCTCCCTGTGCCATGTTGTGTCTGTGGAACACATGGCAAGTGAACACAGTGAGTTTGTGTCAGTGGGACACCTAGATTCTTGGTGTAATCTGGGGACTGCAGTGGACATTAGATGCTTAATTGTAAGATGCTTAAAAATGATGTCAGTCTGAGAAGGCTTTCTCAGGCTTTTGGAAGCAGTGTACAATTGATTGCTGCTTTCACTGGTGGCAGTTTTCATTGGTTACCTCTTTTTTTTTTTTTTCAAATTAAGAATTACAGAGAACAAATTGCTACTTAAGTTGCCTCTTACCTCTTGAATCTTTAATTCTAAGCCCACAATTGCTTGTGATGAGGCTGTTCTCTCTGCAATGGACAGCAACTTGAGGCTACTTGAAAAACTTAATAATTCATTCCTATTTATGCATACTGTAATACAATAGGTTATAAATCACTAATGTCATACACCTAATCAGGCATTGTCAGTAGGGCTTTAGAGATACTGTGGTGTGATCTGAGAGCTCTTTCTAGCTACAAATATGAACATAAATTCATATTTTTGCACTAAGCTTACAATGCTGTCTTAATTGTTTTCTTACTTTTTTCCCTTCACAATTTCCTAATACACTGATTTTTCAGTGTCTTAGTGGCAGTGTGGCCACTGAACACTGGTGTCCCTCTTGCATGGAGCTTTAGTGGAGTAGAAACTCAGTTATTTTCAAAAGAATCCACAGAAAACAAGCCTTTTGTTAATGGTTTGGGGTTTTTATACTCTCAGTAGTATAAAGGGTGAAAAAATATATTTCTTTAGGTGAGAATTTAGTCTCAGTTTATGCCTGTATTGATTTATATGTGTGCATTTCAGATGTTACTTAAATAATTTTCTATGAAATCTATGTTTTACTTACAACTTCATGCTACACATATCTATAAATTTGATTTCTAGGTCAGCAGGACATGGAAAGCACTTGCAGAAGATGAAGTGTTGTGGTACAGGTTGTGCCAAAAGGAAGGATACCTGTTGGATACGAGCATCTCTGATCATGCCTGTTGGAAGCTCGCCCTCAAGAATTGCCGGGCCAGAGAGCGCACGTTGAAAACCAACTGGAAGGTAACAGGGTATTTCTTTAATGGCATCCAGATGCTGTAGAAAAATGGGAACCTGGTTCTAGGAAGTTGTAGTGAAAAGCTGGTCTTTTGTGTTGCAGCTTCTTTTTGCCAAGGGACAGGGGAAAGAAAGATTTATGAGATCTGGTCCTTGCTCCAGTACCATCTTTTCCTCAATGACTGATTACTTTTGGGAGCGAGTCTTTGTTTGCTATGCTGTTCCATTGAATTTGGTGAGAGAGACTTGTATACCTCAACCATCCACTGGTAATGAGAATCAGTCTTTAAAATGAAGGCTTTAAAATGAAGGCTCCTTCCCCTGCGCATTCCATACCCTGGCTTAAAAAAAAGCTATCATTTTGTTGTTGTTGTGATAGTTGATTCTCTACCTAAAGATTATGAGTGATAATGAAGAGTGATAGCTTTTCTCCTTCATTTCCATCTGTAACAATCCCAGGCAGCAAGCATAAAATCCATGTGACTTCCGTCAGCTGCACTGCAGCTTGTCAGTAGCAATAGTAAAGCTTGGAGTTTTCCCCAAAGCAGCAAATTAATCATAGAATCATAGAATCAACTGGTTTGGAAAAGACCTTTAAGATCATCAAGTACAACCCCAGCAGTGCCAAGGCCACCACTAACCCCTGGCACTGAGGCCTCGGCTATGCGGGGTGTGAACACTTGCAAGGATGGTGACTCCAGCACTGCCCTGGGCAGCCTGTTCCAATGCCTGAGCACCCTCTGGGCAAGGAATTGTTCCTCAGCTCCAGCTAAACCTGCCCTGGGGCAGCTTGAGGCCAGTTCCTCTTGTGCCATCCCTTGTTCCTTGGGAGCAGAGACCAGCCCCCTCCTGGCTCCATCCTCCTGTCAGGCAGTTGCAGAGAGCGATAAGGTCCCCCCTGAGCCTTCTCTTCTCCACACTAAACCCCCCAGGTCCCTCAGCCCTTCCTCATCACACTTGTGCTCCAGGCCCTGCACCAGCTCCGGTGCCCTTCTCTGGCCCTGCTCCAGCACCTCAATGTCTCTCTTGCAGTGAGGGTCCCAGAACTGCCCACAGGATTCGAGGTGCAGCCTCAGCAGTGCCCAGTGCAGGGGGACAGTCACTGCCCTCATTCTGGTGCTGATACGGGCCAGGAGGGTGGTGGCTTCTTGGCTGCCTGGGCACAAGCTGCTCATGTTCAGCTCCATCACTCAGCACCCCCAGGTCCTTTCCCATGAACAGTTTCCAGCCGCCCTTCCCCAAGCCTGGGGCACTGCAGGGGGTTGTGGTCCAAGTGCAGGACCTGGCACTTTGCCTTGTTGACCCTCATCCCATTGCCCTCATCCCATGGATCCAGCCTGTCCTGATACTCTGCAGAGCCTCCTGCCCTCCAGGAGATCAACACTCCTACCCAAGTCAATGAATGTGTGGCAGTGCCAACACCATGATTTCTTTCTGCGCAGAACCGCATCGGTGCTGTGAGCCAGCTGCGGTATGAGCTGGGAAAGATTCTGTGTGATGTACATTCCTGCGATGGAGTTGTCATTGCTGGGTGAGTATGAGGCTGCCTGATGCTCACTTGCACTGCTCGAAATCTCATGTACTGCTTTTAACACGTTCAACAGAAGCACCTGTTAGAGGCAACAAGAATGACCTTGTCTGTTCCTTTGTGAGTGAGGGTGACTGTCCTTCAGGTGACTGATAACGATGGTTATCTACAAGTCATTTCAGGTTTTTATTGTACTATTCAAAAAGCTACCTCATGTGTGTGTGGTCCCTCTAAAATCTGCATTACCTTGTGATGAGCTGTATCCATTGTTTTGCTTTGGAAGCACCCAGAGTGTATTAAATGTCATACACATCTACTGAAAAATGCTCTCTTCTTTATTTTTTCCATAAAATCCCTTAATCACAAGGATGTTTCTGTGTGCTGTTGCAGGATAAGTTTAGAAGGACTGTGACTTCCCTCCATTTTTATTTAGGAGACAATCTGGGGAGGTGAAGAACACCCAAACCCTAGAGAAAATCAAAAAACCCTAATATAAAGCTTTGTCAGGACCTTGATGTAATGTTGGCTATTCATTTGGTTTACACTCTTAAATCCAATTTTAAGAACCTCACAAATGCTTAGAAGGGTTTACCATGACTGTCTCAATGGGTGTAAGGCTTTACTGCTTGAATTTTATAGGCTCAGTAGTTAGTAGCCATCTAGAAGAAGCCACATGAGTAAATACAAATGGTATCATGCTGGAGGCAGTCAGAGAACACTGTCCTCAGCATACCAGAGCTCCACATTTATGGTAGCATTTCACATTAATGGTGTGTTTATGCATTATGGGATTAGAGAAAACTGCTTATGAAGTACTATAAAGTTCACACACTGGTTGTAAGAAAGGTGCTTTGGAATACATGGGGTGTAGATAACTCCCCTGTATGTTGAAATGCTTTTCATAGAGTCACAGAATGGATTGGGTTGGAAGGGACCTTAACACGCCTCCAGTTCCAACTAGGGAGACCTTCCACTAGAGCAGGTTGCTCCAAGCCCCATCCAACCCGGCCTTGAGCACTGCCCGGGATGGAGCACTTGCCACTTCCTTGGGCAACCTGTGCCAGCACCTCACCACCCTCAGAATGCTCTTGGGCAACTGAGAGCAGAAATTGAACCAGCAGACAGCAGGAGGGAAAGGGGAATGTTAATCTTTGATGATTGGGTTGGTTTGTGCTTGGGTTTGTTTTTTTCCCTTTGTTTTCCTTCTGCATTTGCAGGTCTCCCTTCCTCTTCTCTGCCATCCTGTTCACTGACTGTTGCTTCTCTTTCTCCACTTCTCGTGCAGTGTTTTCGCTGTTGCTGTAGGTTATGTTAGAGCAATGGAAATGGTTCTGCTGAAGAGCTGAGTAGTCTCTGACCTCTGGAGGGGCAGTGCCACACAGTGGTTAACCTGAACAGTGGCCATGGAAGAGGCTGGAAGAAGTTGTGTGGTTGGAGCACCATAGATCTTAGGTTGACTCGTGCCTGATGCGAGACCCTTGAGCCCCTGCTCAGGCGCCGCAGGTCCCAGCCTGCTGTGGGCTGCGGCTGGGCTCCAGCTCAGCCCATAGCAACCTGCCTTCTTCTGTGCCCTTCAGCTTGGGCACTGTGTTTCCTGGCCTTGGCTGGGGATCTGCACTACTGTATCCATTCCACTGTCTCTAATGAAACCTCCTGTACTTTTTTGGGAGCCAGAAACCCCAGTTGTTTCCATGCTGCTGCCAAAACCTCCAGCTCTTCTTTTTCTTCATTTTCTCCACTGTGTTTATATCCAAACATGCAATATATAGAATTTCACAGAATCTATAATATAGAATTTTATATAGAATATGTAGAAAATAAGCAGAATAAATCAATATCTAAAGAATTAATAACCAAAGGATAACAATCCTGCATATTCAACTCAAATAACCTGTATTTCACTTTGGTGTATTGTGGAAGTTGGGTTTATGCAGTTTCACACGGTGTTTTCATATTGGTTCCCCAGTTCCCCCAGTGTCTCTTGATTCTCTTGGTGAGTTTGCAGCAGTGACATGGTGAAGGGGGGTGATACTATTGAATAATTTTGGTCCCTGAAAGGTTTGTGGAAATAGGTGAGTGGAAAGAGACCACTGAGGGAAAAGCTGCACGTGTGTATCCATTAGGAAGAGCGATGTTACAGATTTCACTCACATGACTTTTCAGTCATTTCCCTTCTCTGAGATGATGAATTTTAGTAATCAAGTATCTTTTTATGAATTACGAGTGTATATTTGGTACAACAACAGAGGGAAATCAGAATTCAGCTGTTTGACTTGACCTGGTTAGTAAATAAAATGTTTAGAATATTAGAACAAAAAGTTATTCCTTCCTTTGCTGTTTATTACTTGGCTTTCTCTCTGCTTTGGTAGCTCAAGATCTCTGACAGCATCTCTTAAACTGCTGCAAGTAGAAAACTATCCCATGGATCTTGCCCCAAAGAAGATGGATTTGTTGTTCTGCCAGTGATGAGCAAAGTCTCCAAGACAGTAGCACACTGTCACACCTCCCAGTAATGTCTCATGGTGAATATCAAACAAGACAGACTTCAAGTTATAACTAAAACTTCCAAGGACATTAGGAAATGGATCAGGGAAATTCGTTGTGTGCATGTATAAATATTCAGGATGGGTAGATTGAGGAATTGTTGGGGTTTTGTTGTTTGTGTTTCTTTAAATCCAAACATAACCCTCCCCTGTCTCTCCCATCTTGTAGTATTGTACATAATGGTATTGTGCTTTCAAATTTGTCATAAAAGTGTAATGAATCTGGTGATCAATAGTAGCTGTTGCATTCGTTCAGTACCAAAGAAGTAATTTAATAGCTGAGGTTAACAGAAGTCAATTTTCTTCTCAGTATAAATATCAATTATCTGTTACATTTAAGGATTATATCTCCAGTTTCACATATGTGAATAATCCTAGATTACAGCAGGACTTGGCGTGTGCATAAAAATAAACTCGTGTGACTTTGCAAGACTTCAGAAGTCAGTGACGATCTTAAGGCTGGTTTTGTGTGTGGCATTTCCTGGGGTTTTCTCAGCAGTGGCTGTGGCATCATTACCTGTCTGTCTTCTATGGTCAGGTTGCTGCACTGGATCAAAATAGGGCTGCTCAGTTTTGGGGAGGATTTTTGCTGCCTGACTTTGGGGAGCAGCTGCAGCACTCTGGCTCAGCTCGGTCAGACCAGCCAGGCATTACACTCTGTCTTTATAGCTGGAAACTGTGGCAGTGTATAGCAGCTGCTCCCAGGTTTCAGGACGCTCAACTTGGGATCTTGGGAGACCAGAGAATGGTTATACAGATCAAAAAAGGGATGGAGAGCAAGGATCTCCAGCAGAAATGCTGGGGCTGTTGTGCATTTGGAGTCTTCAGCAAGCCCAGGAACAACCTTACTTGAACCTCTGCTGTGGTAGACCTGATCTTGTGTTCTTCACTATCCAGCACAGTTTGAAGCAGTAAAGTGAGATAGTTTTTATTTAGAGTTTTTTTATGTTACTCTTTCTAAAAAGGAGTTTGTACAGATTCTGAGCAGAGCGACCTAAACAGCAGCTACCAGTGTGGTATTAGAGGCATCGTTTGCCTGAAGTGGCTTGCGAGCAGATCTCTTTTGTTAACATTGTGTGAGGAAGCACAGATAAACTATATAGGCTTACCTCTCCCTTAGAGAAATGTACCTATTTCATGGACTCTCCTTGTTTCTCCATGCTGCTGCCAAATCTCAAACCAGAAGATGGCAGAATATCAAGGATTGATTAAGTGCAACCTGAGCTGCGAGTGGAAGGTGGCTTCTAGCAGCTCCTCTTTCTCAGAGAGCCTTGCATTTACTGGCTGACATCAGATAATTCAATCTGGCCTGCACACAGAGCATCTTGTGTTTATCATTAAAATTTCATCCCAGTGGTTACGATGCTTGTTTTCTGGGTCAGACCTTGAATCCCTTTTCATTTGAGACAGTGGTGTTTGTGGTTACCTCACTCCCAATCAATGTTGTATTCGCCAGCCTCTCTACAGTTACATGTCTCGAAGGACCTTCTTTAAAGGGATGCTGTCCTCCCCTTCCCCTCCATATTCAATTCAAATGTAGTTTTGTCTATAAGTCACAGTTTGCTTAAAGCAATTATATATCTGCTCTCTTGGCTTTTATAAATTACTACTGGTGATTAGGTTCACTGTACCTAATGCTGTTGCATGCTTGGTGTCAGTACAGAATGCCTGGGTTGCTTCATGGTATTTTAATAAAATCTTATTTATATCTTCTAAGCAAGCATATGTTCAGACAGTAAAATTGCTGCTTTTTTTTCTAGGCAGTGTTGACATCCACACTGATGGGCATCTGCAGGCAGGGGTTAGGTCCTCCTGGAGACACCCATCTCAGAGCATGCATCTGGTCCTTGTTTGAACTGTGTTGTCATTGCACAGTGGATCCTGTGGTGTAACATGTTGTAGTGTGTTGTGAGACTGTTTTGCTGTCTGTGCCATACTCGTGTGTGGCTGTCCTTGAACTATGTGGCAAACTTGCCTTGTGTTGGTGGCAACCACCTCACCTCACAACTCTCAACATCAAACCCCACCGTGTTTGCTGTGAGGCAAGGTAATGTTTTATTGTGCATGATGTTAAATTTATGCTTGCAGAAAGGGCACTGTGGCTTTCCTGCTGCTGTTTGTAGCTCTGAAAGCTTCCCAGATGAACATAAACAGAAGAGGTCTGAGCCAGTCCACCCTTCCAAAGACCTAGAAATATAAAGGTATCTGCTTTTTCTTTCTTCAGTTTTCATTGACTGAAGAGTGATAGACTTTGTGAAGAGCTTGCGTAAATGGAAGTGTAAGGATATGCTTCTGCTGTGCCACCTCTGCTAGAGACCCATCTAGCAGATGCTGTGTGGAGTCCCTGCCCCTCTTACCGACTAGGCTGGGAACCAGCCTGTGATTCTTCTCTTCACGTTTTCCTCCTTCCCCCATAACTACTGTCATCTTTCCTAGAGACTTCATTTTCTTGAGTTACAT